CCCATCCATCTACCCCCACACCCCCCCTCTATCTATCTATCTATCCATCCATCCATCCATCTATCCATCTATCCCCACACCCCCCCTCTATCCATCCATCTATCCATCTATCCATCCATCTATCCATCTATCCCCACACACCCCCTCTATCCATCCATCTATCCAAACACACACACACCCTCTAAGGTGATATATGCCGTAAAGTACCACCAACACACACACACACACCCTCTAAGGTGATATATGCCGTAAAGTACCACCAACACACACACACACACCCTCTAAGGTGATATATGCCGTAAAGTACCACCAACACACACACACACACCCTCTAAGGTGATATATGCCGTAAAGTACCACCAACACACACACACACTCACACCCCCCCAATGTGATATATGCCGTAAAGTGCCACCAACACACACACACACACACACCCCTCTAATGTGATATATGCCATAAAGTGCCACCAACACACACACACACACACACACACACCCTCTAAGGTGATATATGCCGTAAAGTACCACCCACACACACACACATACACACTCACACATGCACACACACACACACTCACATATTCACACACACACACTTAAGGTGATAGTTTTCTACTCCAGCACAGTCCTCAATCCCACCACGTCGATATCAAGCTAAACCGCATACTGCCCCCCTGAGCTCCCATTATCTAGCCTGTGAAATTGGGCTGTTACCGCAAAGCAGAAATGGGACGTCGTAATCTATAAGAGACGGGTGCTGCGGGAACGTTTGAGGGATGGTTGCAGTGGGGGAGGTCTAGGTTGGATATTAAGACAAAGGATTTCCCTAGGCGGGTGGGGAAGCACTGGGATGGGTTCCCTAAAGAGGTGGTGGAATCCCCATCGCAGAGGTGTTGAAGTCCCATCTTGACAAAGCTTTTCCTGGGATGGTTGAGTTGGGTCTTGGTTTGGGTAGGGGGCTGGACTCGATGCCTCCCAAGATCTCGGCCAGCCCTGGGGTTCAATGGTTCACTGAGGTGTGCTGAGAAACACAGGCCGCCACGATCGCTGCATTGCTTTACATTCCGCTGACTCTTCCTCCCCCTGCAGGGATGGAGAACCAGACGGAGGTGAGCGAGTTCATCCTACTGGGTCTGACCACACTCCAGGAGCTGCGGGGTTTCCTCTTCGCCCTCTTCCTGGTGCTCTACCTGACCAGCCTGCTGGGCAATGGTGCCATCCTGGTCGTGGTGATGGCCGAGCCCCAGCTCCACTCCCCCATGTACTTCTTCCTGGGTAACCTCTCCTGCTTGGACATCTTCTACTCAACGGTCACCATGCCCAAGTTGCTGGCTGGATTCCTCTCTGGGCACCAGACCATCTCCTACACCAGCTGCCTGGCCCAGCTCCACTTCTTCCACTTCCTGGGCAGCAGCGAGGGCATCCTGTTGTCCGTCATGGCCTATGACCGCTACGTGGCCATCTGCAACCCTCTGCGCTACAGGCTGGTCATGAACCCAAAGGCCTGTCTGCTCCTGGCTACAGCCACCTGGGTCACTGGCTTCCTGCACGCCCTGATGCACACGGTCATGACCTCCCGGCTGCACTTCTGTGGCTCCCACCGCATCCCCCACTTCTTCTGTGACATCAAACCTCTCCTCAACTTGGCCTGTGGCAACACCCGCCTCAACCTGAGCCTCCTCAATATCGTCACCGGAGGCATCGTGATAGGCCCCTTCATCCTCACGCTCCTCTCCTACCTCTACATCATCTCCTTCCTTTTCCTGAAGGTGCAGTCACGGGAGAGCAGGGTGAAGGCCTTCTCCACCCTCTCCTCCCACTTCATGGTGGTGACTTTCCAGTACGTTCCTACCACCTTCAACTATGTGATGCCTATTCTAGGGGACTCCCCAGAGAGGGACATGATAGCCACCCTCATGTACAACACCGTCACCTCCGTCCTGAACCCCCTGATCTACACCCTGAGGAACCAGGAGGTCAAAACTGCCCTGAGGAAAGTGCTAGGAAGGAAATTGCTCTTTGGAAGGACATGAATAAACTGAAGGTTGATCGTTTTTGTCTAGAGAGAGGCTGTTCTCAGTGGGGGCAGGTGGCAGAATGAGGAGCAATGGGCTCACATTCCAGTGGGGGAAGTCTAGGTTGGATATTAATAAAAACGATTTCCCTAGGTGGGCAGTGAAGCACTGGGATGGGTTCCCTAGGGAGGGGGTGGAATCTCCATCTCTAGAGGTGTTTTAATCCCAGCTTGACAAAGCCCTGGCTGGGATGATTGAGTTGGGGTTGGTCCTGCTTTGGGAAGGTGGCTGGAGTCAATGGCTCCTGAGGTCTCTTCCAGCTCTAGGATTCTGTGATTCTATGATTTATGGACTTCAAGGTCAGAACTGACCATTGGGGTCAACTGGTCTGACCTCCTGCATGTTGAAGGGTCACAAACCCTCATTCCTGTAATCGATTTCCAACCTCTGGTAGAGTTTCAGAAACCCACCAGCCACGTTTTAAAAACATTAAGTTACAGAGAATTCACCCTGGATGTGTGTTGTGCACTGGGCAGCAGAGATTTGACGGTAGAGTGTAAAACGTGGGAATAAACAGTACTTTGAAATTGGATGGGGAATCTGTTTAGTTTGCCAAAAGAATTTGAAAATCCATTTGTCAACATTTACATGAGAATGGCCAGACCACAGGCCCATCCAGCCCAGCATCTTGTCTGCCAACAGTGACCAATGCCAGGTGCCCTAGAGGGAGTGAACAAAATTGGGAATTCATTACATAATCCCTCCCCTAAATTAGTAGAGATTGCCTATCTCCTAGAACTAGAAGGGACATTGAAAGGTTCTTGAGTCCAGTCCCCTGCCTTCACAGCAGGACCAAGTACCATCCCTGACAATTTTTGCCCCAAATGGGACCCTCAAGGATTGAGCTCACAACTCTGGCTTTAGCAGGCCAATGCTCAAACCACTGAGCTATCCCTCCCCTGCCAACCATCACCACACTCTGACCAACAGACGCTAGGTACACCATTCCTACCTATCCTGGTGAATAGCCGTTGATGGACCTAACCTCCATTTTTCAACAGAAAAATGCTGATAGTTCGTGGGAGAAATGAAAACTGCCAACACTGAAAAATGAATACACTCAAGGGTTGTTTTTTTCCCCGTTTCTTGGCTGTTGGTTTCCCAATGGAAAGTTAATTTCCTATTAAGAAAAACAGACCGTTGGCATGTTCATTTTAGTTTTGTCCAAAAAAATATTCCTCAGAAAGGCTTTGACGCTCATTCCGAAGCCCCTACCCTTATCCATTCCAACCTGTTGGTGGAATCTGGGATTTTTCAAAGGTGTCTGGTGAAGCTCAAGATGGGTGTGTCTAGACTACAGGGCTTTGTCGACAAAAGTGGACTTTTGTCGACAAAACTATACCTGCGTCCACACTGCCTTTGAGTTATGTCGACGTATGTAAACCTCATTCTACGAGGAATAACGCCTTTTGTCGACAGAGTTCTGTTGATAGAAGGCATTATTGCATCTACACTGTCCTTTGCATCCACTCTGTTATGTCGACAAAGCGGTTTGCTTTCTCAACAGAACTGGCTGTAGTCTAGACGCTCTTTGTCAACAGAAGCTTTGTCGACAGTTTCTGTCGACAAAACTTCTGTCGACAAAACCCTGTGGTCTAGACATACCCTATGGGTCAAAATGTGATACTGTTGCCAAAAAAAATATCAAAGATGATGCATTAACAGAAGTGTTGTAAGTAAGATAGGAGAAGTCATTCTCTATGCTGATTAGATATCTGTTGAGGCATTGTATTCAGTTCCGGGCACCACATTTCAGGAAAGATATGGGCATGTTGGAGAAGGTCCAGAGAAGAGCAACAAAAAGGATGAAAGGTTTAGTAAACATTACGTATGAGAGGAGAGTGACCCAGTTGGGTTTCTTTAGTTGAGTCATCAAATTTAAAGCGATCGGAGCACGTTGGCTTAATGAAAATATTTGCACCTCATTTGCTCTTCTTGCTCCAATTTTTTCGCCCTTCATCTCTCCCGGGAAAACTTAGCTCATTTGAACTTCCAATACGCAAGGGGATGAAGGAGTTTGTCCCAGAAGCACTGAAGGATGAAAGCAAATTATCCTTGACGGTTGTCAACAAGACTGTTCCACAGTGTGTGACTCTGATAAAAAGGAGTCTCCAATGTAGAGTTCTCAAGTTTTTCAGAGGAACCAGATGCTCTGAAATTTTCCTCAAATTTGTCCGCGATCTGGGTCATGAGAGTGAAGCTTTGGGAAGAATCCAAATGACTCTTCTGTGATTTGGAGCCAGGAGCTGATAAAAATCCACTCTTTTATCTTCAGGTAACCTCATGTAACCTATCAGTTTTAATGTCCCAAACTGCTGGATCTGTAGATCTTATTTTGGTGGATGGATCATTTTTGTGTGTAAAGTTGGAGATATGGGGTAGGGAATGATTTCTGGGTTTAAATGTGCACAGGAACGCCATTAACGCTGTTTCCCTCAAGGTCTAGGTGATCACCTGTAAACAGCTTCCTTTGTTTTTCAGTCTAAGCAGTAGTTGATCTTAGGAAGGCATGGGACCACCCCAACTGGTAGGGTCTGACCAGGCAATTTCCCATAGAAGGTGGGGGAGAGAACATGAAGTTCCCACCCAAAGTGGAATCTATAAAACATTGGGAAGCTACTACCCCTTTTTCTACATCACTCCCAAGAGAATGAACCCGACACCCCGGGAAAAAAAAGGATCTACCTTGGCTTTGGTGACATAACAATTTTGGGGTGACTTTGCAAGAAGCTTCGCTGTGTTAGAACCAGCTGTGTGTTTTCTGTTATTGTAAATCTGTCATCTAGTTTGCTCTGCCTGGATCCACTTGCAACCACTTCATCCCTTCCACTGGTACTTAATCAAACCGCTTGTATTGATTCTCAAGCCCAGCGTGAATAAATGTTACCCGGGAGAGCAATCGGTGTATACATCCTCCTGTCATTGTTAAAAGGGGTTTACCTAAATAATTCATTGGGGGGTCGGATCCCACTTGGGGAGCAGGGATTCCAGGAAGCAAGCTTGCAAGTCTAGACACAACCATTGAGAAAGGTGGGTTTGACTCATTGAGAACAGACGTGGTTAGAGATGCATTTTCCCCACCAGTCAGGTCAACTGAGAACTATAAAGGAAAGTCTTGGGGGAAATAATGACCCAATGAAACGTATTTTTAACTCATTGAGAACGGTGGTTCTCGATGAGTTCTGAATGACAGCTCCTCGTAATATTGTCCTCGTGAGATGTTTGTTTTACTCGCCAGTCAGGTAAATGGAGCGCCATAAAGGAAAGGCAATTGGGGAAAGAGGACACATGGTCAAATCAAGCCTTCTCCATGGGAAAGGATTTTGTTTTTATTGGAAAAGGAGTTTTGTTGTCTCGCCTTCTCTAAAAGCAGAGGGTTGGAAATTTAGCTTGGAAAACTGCATTCCAATGGGACCGAAAAGACAGGGCTGGGAGAGACTTCACGAGTCATCGAGTTCTGCCCCTGCCCTAAGCAGGATCAATCCCAACTCAGTCATCCCAGCCAGGGCTCCTGAGATCCCTTCCAACCCTATGACTATGATTCTATGATCATCACAGATGAGGAACCTGAGGAATTGAACAGTCAGTTAAATGGATCAATGCCTCAGAGGGCATAAGAACATAACAACATAAGGGTGGCCTTACTGGGTCAGACCAAAGGTCCATTTAGCCCAGGAGCCTGTCTTCCAGATGCCCCAGAGAGAGTGAACAGAACAAGGAATCATCAAGTGATCCCTCTTCTGTCACCCCTTTCCAGACAGAGGTTAGGAACACCATCCCTACCCATCCTGGCTAGTAAGTATCGATGGACTTCACCTCCCTGAATTTATCTAGTTCTCTTTTTTGAACCCTGTTCAAGTCCTGGTCTTCACCACATCCTCTGGCAAGGAGTTCCACAGGTTGACTATGTGCGGTGTGAAGAAAAATGTCCTTTGGTTTGTTTTAAACCTGCCGCCTATTCATTTCATTTGGTAACTCCTCGTTCTTGTGTGACGGGAACAAGTCAATCACGTTTCCTTCTTCACTTTCTCCACACCTGTCATGATTTTATAGACCTTTATAAAAACTAGATTAAGAATACACCTCAGGAAAATGGATTCCTAATCTAGTGCATATTCTCTGAACCTTACTTCTTATTACCTTGCTCTTACGACATGGTAATTCCTTTTCCTCTTTCTGATGAATGTTGTTAGCACTGTTCTCCATTTGCCACATCGTAGTTGGGGGTCTGATTTTTTTTGTCATTTCCCACAAGCAAGAAGATTCCCATGGATGTCTTGAGGCATTTCAAAATAGCTGATACTTTTTTCTGACCCCCTGCTGTGGACTGAGTATGCGTCTTCAGTGTCCAGGCCTGACTGGTAGCAGGTAGGTGAAGCAGTGGAAATATGTACAAATAGCTCCAAGGCAGACAAACCGCTTCCTGTCGGAAACATGGGATCTTCTCTGCCCTTGTGAAGTCTCTGATCCCCTGCAGCGACTGTGCCCACTCATAGAATCATAGAATAATAGGACTGGAAGGGACCTCGAGAGGTCATCGAGTCCAGCCCCCCGCCCTCAAGGCAGGATCAAGCTCCGTCTACACCATCCCTGACAGATGTCTATCTAACCTGTTCTTAAATATCTCCAGAGAGGGAGATTCCACCACCTCCCTTGGCAATTTATTCCAATATTTGACCACCCTGACAGTTAGGAATTTTTTCCTAATGTCCAATCTAAACCTCCCCTGCTGCACTTTAAGCCCATTACTCCATGTCCTGTCCTCAGAAACCAAGAGGAACAAATTTTCACCTTCCTCCTTGTGACACCCTTTTAGATATTTGAAAACCACTATCATGTCCCCCCTTAATCTTCTTTTTTCCAAACTAAACAAGCCCAGTTCATGAAGCCTGGCTTCATAGGCTTCTCTAGACCTTTAATCATTCTTGTCACTCTTCTCTGTACCCTTTCCAATTTCTCCACATCTTTCTTGAAATGTGGCGCCCAGAACTGGACACAGTACTCCAGCTGAGGCCTAACTAGTGCAGAATAGAGCGGCAGAATGACTTCACGAGTTTTGCTTACAACACACCTGTTGATACAACCTAGAATCATATTTGCTTTTTTGGCAACAGCATCACACTGTTGACTCATATTCAACTTGTGGTCCACTATGACCCCTAGATCCCTTTCCGCCATGCTCCTTCCTAGACAGTCGCTTCCCATCTTGTATGTATGGAACTGATTGTTCCTTCCTAAGTGGAGCACTTTGCATTTCTCCTTATTAAACCTCATCCTGTTTACCTCTGACCATTTCTCTAACTTGCTAAGGTCATTTTGAATTATGTCCCTATCCTCCAAAGAAGTCGCAACCCCACCCAGTTTGGTATCATCTGCAAACTTAATAAGAGTACTCTCTATCCCAATATCTACATCATTGATGAAGATATTGAACAGTACGGGTCCCAAAACAGACCCTTGAGGAACTCCACTCACCCCCCCCCAGTTGCCCCCCCACCACTCAAAACAATGTGAATTATTTTCAAATGTTCCAAAGGACGTGGGGGTATATCTGCACTACCACCCTAGTTCGAACTAGGGTGGTTAATGTAGGCAACCGAAGTTGCAAATGAAGCCCGGGATTTGAATTTCCTGGGCTTCATTTGCATCTTGCCGGGCGCCGCCATTTTTAAATCCCGGCTAGTTCAGACTCCGTGCCCGCGGCTACACGCAGCATGGACTAGGTAGTTCATATTAGGCTTCCTATTGCCACGAGGTGTACCGGTAGTTCGGAATAGGAAGCCTAATTCTACCTACCTACTCCGTGCCGCGTGTAGCTGCGTTCACGGTGTCCGAACTAGCGGGGATTTAAAAATGGCGGCGCCCGGCAAGATGCAAATGAAGCCCGGGAAATTCAAATCCCGGGCTTCATTTGCAACTTCGGTTGCCTACATTAACCACCCTAGTTCGAACTAGGGTGGTAGTGTAGACATACCCTATGAGAGGAAGGATGGTTCATTTGGGCTAGGCAGGGACCTGAGAGATGCAGGATACATTTCTCCTTTTCCATTGCCTCTCTGTGCCTAAATCACTTAGGTTCCCTTATGAATTCCACTGGGAGCCTCTTTACATAGAATCCTAGAACACTAGAATGGGAATGGACCTCGGAAGGTCATCGAGTCCAGTCCCCTGCCCTCTAACATCTGTTGGCATCTCAAGTAACTTTGAACATCAGTTCATCTCTCCAGTCTCCAGCTATAAAATGGACACTTTAATAGCAATGTTGTGAGGATAAGTATGCAAGTGCTCTGGTACGCCAGGGAAAGTAGCCGCACAAGGACCTTCGATAGAAGTTGAAACAATTTTGATTAGGACTTGACCTCCCAAATCCCTTAGGTGTTTTTGCAAAATATCTCCCGATCTAGCTTTGAGCTAATGGTTGAGTTGGTAGAGTACTACTGAATGGGATCTTCTCTGGAAGCAAATCGGTGTAGGACCAGCAGTCATCATCTGCAAATTTGGAACCTCGTTCCCCAAATGAGGAGGGGTTACAGACCTGAGGGGCGGGGCCAAATAATAAGGAATATCTAAGGGAGGTAGTGATAAACTTCATGAAAATGGGCACAAGTGACTTCAACCATTTCTTTTTTTTTCTAATTCTGCAGGTCAACAAGGCCCCATGGAGGAGAACGGCACCAGTGTTCAGGAATTCATCCTGCTGGGATTCCCGGCCATCCTGGAGCTCCAAGGGTTGCTCTTTGTGGTCTTCCTGGTGGCGTATGTGCTGACCCTACTGGAGAACATGGTTATCATCGGCTTGATCCGGACAAACTCTCACCTTCGCAAGCCCATGTATTTCTTCCTCAGCCACCTCTCCTTCCTGGAAGCCTGGTACATTTCCGTCACCATCCCCAAACTGCTGGTGAACTTCCTGGTGGAGGACAAAAGAATCTCCTTTGTGGGCTGCATGACCCAACTCTACTTCTTCAGCTCCCTGTTATGCACCGAGTGCGTCCTCCTGGCATCCATGGCCTACGACCGCTACGTGGCCATTTGTAGCCCCTTGCGTTACCCAGCCATCATGACCCACCGCTTCTGCCTGCAGTTGGTGGCAGTCTCCTGGGTGAGTGGTTTCTCCATCTCCTTGGTCAAGGTGTCCTTCATCTCACGCCTGACCTTCTGCGGCCCAGGGATCATCAATCACTTCTTCTGCGACATCTCCCCGGTGCTGAACCTGGCTTGCACCGACATGTCAGTGGCAGAGACTGTAGACTTTGTGTTGGCCTTGATCATCCTGCTGGTCCCTCTGTTCGTGACAGTCGTCTCCTACCTCTGTATCATTGCTGCAATTATGCGCATCCCCACCGTCCAGGGGAGGAAGAAAGCCTTCTCCACCTGCGCTTCCCACCTCACTGTGGTCATCATCTTCTTCTCCACCTCCCTCTTCATGTACGCCCGGCCCAAGAAGATTTACCCTTTCGATTTGAATAAGCTGGTGTCTGTCGTGTACACGGTTCTCACACCCATGCTCAACCCCTTCATCTACTGCCTGAGGAACCAAGAGGTGAAGGGGGCACTCAAGAAAGCTTTATCTGGGCTGAGTAGTGTCCATAAGGTCCCTGTGATGGACACAGCCCACCAAAGGGACAGAAAGATCCATGCCGGTGAAACGTGAGCCGCGTCGTGCTCAGGGAATGTCACACCAGGATGTAGTTCAACCTGTTTTATAGACACAAGCTGAAATCTGAAAAGACAGAACCGTATGGTCATTCTCTCTCCAGAAGCCTGACTAACGAGTCTCCTTTCTGTCCTGTGCATCCAACCTCTGTCTGTTCTCTGCCAAGAGGGAACTCTAGAGAGACGGAGGCAAAGTCATGGCAGAAGTGGAACATTTCAATAAGGTTTGGAAGGTCCCTGAAATCCAGGAGGTGTCCGGACTTGGGAGTTGCAATTCCAGGGAGTTTCTGGCACCTCACAACAGGGGACTTTAGGAAACTGGAATACAGACTAATCCATCAGTTCCCCTAAGGAATGATGGGAGGCCCCTCTCCTGCCACAGGTCTAGTCTCAGTGTGGGAACACCCCACAGGGACAATGGTTCTTTATTCACTGCAGAAAAAGAAACTCACGGAGCTGAAAGTTCTTTTCCCTTTCCTGTGGAAGAGGGTGCCGGGGCTGGGGCCTTCTGCTTCCTGCTGCCATTGAGAAGCCAAGTACAGCAGGATGGCACAGGGGGTTGGGGTGGATTGGAACAGGCTTCAGGGCCACACCGGCTCCTGCATTCTGTGGGGTGTGTATGTGTGGGGGTGACCCCCGATGCTGCCGTCCTACACCAGGCCCATCCACAGGATGGCTGAGGCGTTCACTGCGGGGCCTCCCAAAATGCAGGGGCTGAGGTGGCCGTCCTGAACCGTTCGACGGCCGGGAAGGCTTTTGGCTCCCTGCCCCCCTGGAATGTGTGGGAACGAAGAACCTGACCCTCAGGGACTTTCCTTACAAATGGGGTCCTGTTCTCCCTCACGTTTCAGTGAAAATCCCACTCTAAGGAATCACCACGTTGCTTCCGGCCCACAAAAGATTCTGCCCAAGCACATGTGTGGGTCCCTACAGGCCACGGGTCTCCTCATTGCGTTTGCTGGAGCAGACGAACACGGCTGCC